AGTTCACCTTCAAAGGCATTAAACTTGCCTTATTCACTGATTTAACCATTTTAATGTATCTTACTGAGAAAATCCTACTCTCAGCCATAACCATAGCACAGAGAAATACTTGCTTTTTTTTGTAAAGTAAGAAAAAATGGAGAAATTTGATAAGTGACTTGCCAAGGCTGAAGTTTCATCATTTGAAACACCAGCCAAGAGCCAGCGCTGTGAATAAGCACTGTGGCTGATGGGTCCCAGGGCTGGGGACAGTAGGGAAGCAGGGCCTTTTCGTGTTTTAACAGGTCCCCTGTCACTGAGCTACCTACACCACCTTTCCCCAATTGATCTGCCCCCTCTTCAACAGTTCAGTCCCCTTCCTTGCCCAAAGCAATCCATGCAGAAGCTTCAATTCCGGCTATTCTTGAATCCTCCTCCGAGTGCTCAGGGATGGCAGCTTTCCAGGTAACTCCATGGAGGCCTGCACTCTCTAACAAAAGGAATGCTTCCAAAAGGAGTTGGTTACCAGGTGTGGCATGAAGTTAGTGAACCAGAAAGAAGGGATTTATCAGCCAGTTACAAAGGTGGGGGGTGGAGAAAGAAAGGAATACAGAAAAGAAACCAGCAACAAGCAGGAATAACACCTAAATCTACTTCTATCAGTCTGAACTATACTTTGGAGTAAAAAGTCTTTAAACGAAAAATCATGATGGTCAGAGTTCAGTTGTAGAAAACGATGCAAAGCTACAAAGTTTAGACTTTCTAGGGGCAGGAGAGGTCTCTGGGAAACAGCTCTTCAGCAAGGCAGTAAGATGAGATTACAGTGATAGTTGCTACCTTGGGTTTATTTGTTTTAATGTATTCTTTTTTTCATCTCTGAGTTGACTCAGAAAGGCTCGTGATTCTTGGATCATCATTGAATTTATTTCTATAATTAAGTTATTTTTAAACTAACAGTCTTAGTATATAATTTTTAAGGATCACACATACTCATGCGTTTTCTACTGGAGATCGAGACCATCCTGGCTAGCACGGTGAAACCCCGTCTCTATTAAAAATTACAGAAAAAAAACAAAAACAAAAAACTAGCCGGGCATGGTGGCGGGCGCCTGTAGTCCCAGCTACTGGGGAGGCTGAGGCAGGAGAATGGTGTGAACCCGGGAGGCGGAGCTTGCAGTGAGCTGAGATCCCCCACTGCACTCCAGCCTGGGCGACAGAGCGAAACTCCGTCTAAACAAAAAAAAAAAAAAAAAATTTAGAGAAAAAGTAGTCTTAGTAGATACTCTCCCAAGCTTTTGTATGAGCCTGGATACTAACTGTGTGTTCAATACAAATCAATGGAACTAGGGCTCTTTCGGGTATTTATTCCCTAAGGACTCACTAATGAAATTATCTGTAGCCCTTTAAAAAAAGTCACAATGAGGCTAATGAAATTTTTTTTTTTCTCTGTGAAATCTAGATAAAGCTAGACACTAAGCCTACTGGCACATTTTATGGACAAGTTGTAAAAAACTCAAGAGTGTTTTTTAAGAACTGTTTAATATTGAAGAAGACTTCGTAACTTAGGGTTAAATGGTTTAAACCAATAGAGAAGTAGATTGTATGTCTGCAACTTCAAAATCATTCTGGTATGACATTAAAACTTAGAGAATTTTTTTCATATCAGATACAGATGAAAAACCTAACAGTCTTTGGATTGGAAATAACTGGTGGGGGTTTTCATTAAAGTTGGGTGCAGCTTGCTGCATTTTGGTTAGTTGGATGTCTTCAGCAATTTTTCAAATGTTTTGGGTTTGGCAAAGTCCAAAATGTTTTTTGCCAAGACCCTCTTTTCCCCTTATTTTTTAAACCCGTGTGAAATTCAAGGATAACTTAATCCATATGTGTCTGATTCATTTACACTTAACTCATCAAAATGTTATTTTATAAGACCCATTTAATATCCATGGAAACTTCTGAGTCTTTTTAAGACAAGTCTTTTGTCTTTGAACCAGCAAGTTACATTTTTCCATATGAATGGAGCCTGAAGCTTGAAAGACTGAAGATGAGTTGATTTTCAACTTAGATTCTTCAAATTTTAAGTAAAATCAAAGCTTGATATTCCATTTACTACTTGAGCACTGAAAAAGGTCATTTAAAAAAAATATAGATGAGAAGATGTGGAAAAAAATTTACTTCATGTAATTTTGAGAAAAGACCATATATGGAAATTTCATCTTAGAAATATTAAACAAATAAAATTATTCCTAGTTTGATTTGCTTTAGTCTATAATTTAAATGGCTCCATGTTATGTAGGTCAGTGTATTTTCTAAGAGTGGCCTCTGGGTCATCAGTACTGGTGGGAGGCGGTAATTTCATTTTTTAATGTCAGGGTTTTCTTACAGTCATCTCATTAATTGTTAATTTTCATAGTAACATCTATGATGTCAATAAAATATCCCAAGATCAGGGGAACTGACAATTGGCAGGAGTTGTATGTTAAGAGATTTCTGAAAATTTGGGGCCCATATGTTTTTAAAATTCTGTGTGATTTGAAAGAATGTGGTAGAATTATGAATCTGGCAAGAAATAGCACTATGAATCCAAAACATTGTTTGAGAACAAAAATCCAGAGAGGCTAAATGGTGCCCAAGTGAAAAAAGCAAAATCTCTGTGACCCTTTGTAAAAGGACCTAGTGAAAACCTTCAGAGGCTTCTATTCATATTTGCTTAGGAGAAGTGGGCAAAGAAAGGCCATTGCCATAACTGCTAGTGAACATCCAGTCCATGCCATGGTAACTAGTTGAAAATGTTATACTGGAGTGGCATTTCCAAGTTCAGTGCTTCTATAAAGACCTGCTAGCACACAGAATGCTTTTTTAATGTTCTGCATTGTTGTGTATCCCCCATTGAACAACCTTTTGAGCGGACCCCGTTTTTACTAATGTAAACATTCTGACGAGTATCCAAAGAAATGACCTTTGAGTGAACCTCTAACCTTCCCGGTAATTATTTGTTTGAAGACAGTGTGGAGTTCTCCTGCTGAGAACTAAGAACCATGATGCCTTGCAGCTCTGTGAGTAAGGGAGTGTTTGGGGGAACTGGAGAGAAAGACATAAATAAGGGAACAACCTCCAGATGTAAAGAATAAAAGAGTGAAATTAAAAAGGGAAAAAATAGCAATTCGTTTTACCTAAAGAGTCGGCCTATACCGAAAAAAAAAAAAAAGGGGAAAAAAACCACAAAACACAAAAACCAGGATTAGTAGCACATAAAAGGAGGTAAAACCCCTGCCAAGTGTGTCCTCCATTAGAAACTTCAAGGAGAAGACACTTCTCTGACTCTCCTGAGCATCTCTGCTGGTTTCAAGGTGAGCTGATAAAAACAGTTCCTGGGGTGGAAATATCAGCTCAGTCCTCCTTGGTTGCTGTAAAAGTGGTGGGGAAAGAGGAGATAATTAAGCTCTTTTTCTGATTGGAGGGATACTTCTGGAAGTCTTTGTGATCTGGTCAGATATTCCTCAGCAACATTTCAGGTGACAGGTGGGAATAAAGATGAAGTTTCAACTCTCCTTTTGTTCTCACCTCTACATAGCTGGTCACTTTCTTTTTTGACAACTGAGCTACACTTTCTTAAGTAATAAAGAAGTCCATTGTTTTGCAAACAAACACCATATGCAAAAGGCTCCTTTGGTTTTCTCCCAGCTATTATTCCTCAGCTTAATTGTATTCCCACCAGAGTGCTCACAGGAGGCCTGCCCGAGTGTGGCCTGACTGTCCTCCTCCAAAGGGACTTCAGGTTCCTCAGAACACAGAGCTGCCAGCACACACTGAATTTTTCCGGCTAATTTCAAAGAATGAGTTTTCAGTTCCTGCCTGTGGCCCCAGGTGGACTCATTAATCATGAAGTCCCCCTGTGCTTAAGATCTGAAACTGGAAATATTGACAGATGTTATCAATGGGTATATTTTGAAGGAAAAGCTAGCTGGATGCTCCCTGCTCCTCTGAAATGCGTGGTCAGTGAATCCTGTGCATAAGCTCAAATGTGTGGGGAGTACACGTCGTTAAGTGCACAGGGACAAGGGTAACTCACAAATGGTAGAAAATTGTTTTGTTTTTTATTAAATTTAGAGAAATAAAGGAGATTTCTTATCATCTTACTCTGTTTGTACATGAATATTTGATGGGCATTATTAAACATTAAAGTAACATGAAGTAGGCACTTATTTTTGGATTTCCAACAAAATTAGATCCAGGCTTCTTAGATGAAATAACTGCTTCTCCTTTGCATTCCTGCGATTCAGTCACCACCTGATTTGCAAACGTTTCTTGGGCTCTAATATCAACCATGTGTACCTGAGGCTCTGTCTTTCTAGTGGGTTGAAAGGTGGCTGGGTTTATGGTTGGCAGTTACCTTATCCTCTGCCCTGGGTGTCCCCGCTTAGGCTGGAAAGGCTGCCCCCAGCTGGCACTGACCTCTGAATGACCCCTAACTTTACAGGCTTAAACTGCAGGAGTTGCCGAAGGACAGAAGTCTTTCTGACCAGCACTTATTACTGCTGTGTTGGTGATAAAACTTCAGACAGCCTAATTGATGGCTTTGCTGACCTAACAATACCTTGTGAAAGCCGAGTGCTAGAGCCTGGTCTCCATTTATGACCAGCTGCAAGGGGAAGCTGGGTCTCCCTATCACGGGGCGTCTAGGGAAAGGGGAAAGTCTTCCAGCCTGTGAACTTTAACCAGATTCCTACTTGTTCAAGAAGCAGAAGCACAGTTTGAAATGAATGGAAGCTTTCTCGTGGAGAACTTTTTTCCCTCCCTGAGCTCTTTTAGCAAGTTTATCTCGGTGATGACTACACAGTGACGGTGGAGATTACCCAGTCAACTATTTTTGAACACTGAAAGGGAAAATCACCTTTAAGTTGAAAAGGTAATTTTCAGAAGAGATTTGACTGTATTTCGCGCCCCTCAGCGTTCATGCGAAGGTGTTCGCAGAGTACAGGCACGGAGTTTGCTGACTGGCCTTCTCTGTTCTGTTTCAGGTTTATTAATGCCAGAAGAAGAATAGTACAGCCCATGATTGACCAGTCAAATCGAGCAGGCAAGTTCCAAGCAGTGTCTTTATCTGTATTTATGTCCCACAGGCACAAATCCTCATCAAGTTAGACTCCAGGAGTTTCCTCATCTGGTAAATAAGTGCTTCCACCAGGCATTCTGGAATTTTTTTTTTTTTAAATGTCCCCAGAATCCCACTCAAGGAAGCAACTTCAGTAACTGGTGCTAATTGGAGATTTCCCACCCTGACTCTGCTGAAACTGCTTTTTCTTTTCTTTCTGAATTGGTAATTGGGCACAAGTATTAATGCCACAAGCAGCGTGTTTGTGAGCTCTGGCATTACCCCTTGCTTGTCTGCATCCAATCATTAGCACACTCTCATTTTTTTGTTACCTACAGCTCCTTGGTGTATGCTTGGCTGTCCCCTCGGTAGCATCCACTGTTAAACTTGTTGTATCCATTCATTTGCCTTGGCTATTCATAATATTCTATGAAAGCCTGACGCGCTGCATTGCCACCATTATTTTTTGTTAAAGAATTATTACCTTTGTTGAAAATGCTTCACATCCATGCTGCTAAAATACATGTGAGCTTTTCTCACAATTCTCTCAATTTCTCTGAAACAGTTTTTATGTGGTTCTGTCAGAACCCTCCTGGTGTACTCCAAGTCATTTTATTTTTAAACAGACCTTTCCTCAGTTTACTGAGGGGTTGTGGTCTCCTGCAATAAGGCTTATAGGGAAATGCAGTTTTCCTTGGGGTGATGGCTGCTGCCATTAACAACGGTGTTAAACTTGATGGAGATTTTAACCGCAGCCTCGCTTTAAAGGATTTGTGAAAATTAGTCATCCTTTGGCAAAATTTCCCCAGTGACGCCAAAATATGTTCTCACTATTGGAGGCCAGGGGGCCTGTTGGAGAAGAACATAAAACAAAGGAAATATTATATTTACTATGTTTATTTTTCCTTGGGTGTGAATAAAAAGGCAAGTATTTAATTGAGTCTATTTAACCTTGTGAAACTGTATTCCAGTTTAAAATGTTTGTGTAAAATACGAAAATTTTTTATTAAGCCCCCAGAGATGGTAGCCTCAGAGAATCCCAACCAAATGGTACATTGCAATATTTATGTATGGGGTACCCCTAACTTCTCCAGCCTTCATCCCCCTAATCGAGAGATAATTAAAAAAGCAAGGGCTGCAGAGGACGAACCCCCTGGGAAACTGGCCAGTGAAGTCTTTCTTCCAGAACATTTTTTAAAGCCACTCGCACACCTTCACTCAGTCATCAAGACACTCATACAAACCACACCCCCATTTGTAGAGTGCCAACCACATTGTTGCTGTAACGTTTCAGTGCTGCAGCGGGAACAATTGCTGATTGTTTGGTATATCTTTTCTTCTTTCTCCTCTGTGTCCTCGAATGACCACAATCAGGTTTTCTTCTTGATCCTTCAGTGAGCCAAGGAGCAGCATATAGTCCAGAGGGTCAGCCCATGGGGAGCTTTGTATTGGATGGTCAGCAACACATGGGGATCCGGCCTGCAGGTAGGTTGGCTCATCCCACCTCTGGGCTTCCCTGGGAAGTGCCACCTGCTCCACCAGCCTCTCCATCCACTCTACTCTCCCACTCTCATGGTGGGTTTAACATTTGCCTGCTGCCTGCTCTGCCTGCTTTCTTTACATTGGGTGGGGGAAAAAAATCCTCTTTGAAAAAGTAAAGATTTTACCACAGTATCATTATACTCTGCCCCACACACATCCTTTTTCTTTTTTCTTTTTAAACCAAGGCAATAAGTGAAAAGGAATATGAGTTTCCTTCTATTTTTTCACCATCAATTATTGCTGATTTTCCGGCCTCTTCTTGGATTTTATCTCCTTTCTAGGACCTATGAGTGGAATGGGCATGAATATGGGCATGGATGGGCAATGGCACTACATGTAACCTTCATCATGTAAAGCAATCGCAAAGCAAGGGGGAAGTAAGTACAGTCGGGTGCGATCTGTCTTCACTATCACTTCAGAGACTTGATTTTATTTTTTATAATTTGCCCCCATTTGATTTTTCCTTGCCCATAACTGCATGCCTTTCCAAACTAAGGGCCTGTTTTTAAAGATATATCACCCAGCTCTGAAGTCACAGGTGACACTGACGTGTACTTTTGAAAAGGCCAACTGACAAGCCTGCGTGTGTTTTAAGCAGGTGGGACTGCCTTTTAGCCTATTTACTGTGGCCCCAATGTGCACAAACACAGACATCAGGAAGATATTGGACATTTAAGAATAAAAATAATGTCTTGGGGGCACCAGTTGACTGAGAGAAATTAAGCAGGCTTCAATGAAGCGGTAAAAAAAAAAAAAAAAGGAAAAGTAGAACTGTCCTTTGAGTGACATAAATCTGTCAGAATACGATTGATGCCCAAATTATCTTATATGCAAAGATGAAATGCTGCAGCTCATTATGCCTAGTCTAGATATATGACAGCAGTGACACCATTGATTCTTCACTAGGGAGTCGGTGTGTTTTGATTATTTTTTACATGTGCCTACTGACTTTCGACACGAGACAGAAAGACAGCAAAGTCAGTCAATAAATTTAAAGGGAAAGACATTTAGGAGCAACTGAATATGAAGGAATGGATTTTTCACTGAGGCTGAATGGCTGCAGTTGGATTAAGAAACCCATTAGACTTTAAAGCTTCAAGTGTTTTTGACATCTGAAAAAAATTCAGAGTCTGCCAACAAGATATATCCTTTGCTGAAGACACCAGAGCATAAAAAAATTCATATAACATTGAAACTTCCTTGTTTAATGAGGCTGAATATAACAACACGTACCTTGATTAAATCATTCTCTATATGTAAATAGAGGCCAACATTTTATAGGAGATCTCAGGGGGTCACCATGGCACACCATTGATGAAGCCAATTTCCTTCCTTCCTTCCTTTACTAATGCAGTCAAAAAATGTAGAAAGCAATGTTCCCTAAAACAGCTATAGAGAAAACATTTGCTCAGCTTGGATAATTCTTAATATAGGCCATATAATTTCTAGCCTATTTAATTACATAACATATTTTATGCTTCATGACCAATTACATTAATAGCTTAATACAGAAGAATATTATCCTCTCTTGATTTGATTATGCAGCCACACAATATGGTATATTTGGTACTTAATTATCATCATCCATTGAGCAGGCTGCTGTGGTAGAATAAACAGAGAGCTGGGACTATGCAGGCTGTGTTATTGTGTTTAGATGGTTTTGCCACTTCTGTTAATAATGGACTGCGGATCTACTTAACAAAATGACTGCAGCATATAAGCCTTTAGATTACCAGCTTACAGTGTCAAAAACATCTGTTCAGCTTTTCAACTGTATGCACTGGAGGTTAAATAGAGGTGAATAAAGCTGTCCTTTTAGACCTGGGGATGTGCAACTGTAAATATAACCTTAACTCAATAAACAGGTAGCTTGCAAGAGAAATCAGAATCCTTACAACTGCTGACTTCCCACCATTTAACTCATCACTTTGAATGTTGCAAAACTCAATTAAGAATTTCTAGATTTTGTTACATTTTATTCCTAATATCAAGGCATTATTTGGGGGAATTTTCAGAAATAAACTACCGGGCATGTCATATGACCTTACGTTGACTTCTTACCTTTGACCTTTACAATCTCTTGGGTGTACTGCTACAGGAATGCCTCTAATTCAAAAAGGGGGCTTCATTTTAAATACACATAAAAGCTCATTGCTTCAAAATGAATATGCTGTAATGTTTTGTATAATAAATTTTTCATGAAGAAATATAGATATGATAAGATGTCAATTTTATTTTATTTTACTGTCTTCAATTTTTGTCCATGTCTACAAATGCAACACAGAAAAATAAATGATCTATCAACAGTTAACTGATAAAACTCGACTCAAAATTTATATTCTTATTGCACTTATCAAAGAAATGTACTGAATACCATTTTGAAAAACAGTTCCACTTTATGACATTTAGTTGCATTAAATATTTAGTTCTGTTGTGTTGCATTATACTGCTGTGCGATGAAATTAAATGCAAACTACAATTTGAATGTCTGCAAACATTGGCAAGAATCTGCAGCTAAATTTAGATATAAGATTTGCAGTGTCTGTTGTTTTTTTTTTTCTTTTCATCTTTGATGGGTAAAGTATAAAAATGTTTAGGAATTTGACCTGCTTTCTTTTTCCCTCTCTACTTTCAGGTTTGCAGAGCATGCCAGGGGACTACGTTTCTCAGGGTGGTCCTATGGGAATGAGTATGGCACAGCCAAGTTACACTCCTCCCCAGATGACCCCACACCCTACTCAATTAAGACATGGACCCCCAATGCATTCATATTTGCCAAGCCATCCCCACCACCCAGCCATGATGATGCACGGAGGACCCCCTACCCACCCTGGAATGACTATGTCAGCACAGAGTCCCACAATGTTAAATTCTGTAGATCCCAATGTTGGCGGACAGGTTATGGACATTCATGCCCAATAGTATAAGGGAACTCAAGGGAAAAGGAAACACACGCAAAAACTATTTTAAGACTTTCTGAACTTTGACCAGATGTTGACACTTAATATGAAATTCCAGACAGCTGTGATTATTTTTTACTTTTGTCATTTTTCATCAAGCAACAGAGGACCAATGCAACAAGAACACAAATGTGAAATCATGGGCTGACTGAGACAATTCTGTCCATGTAAAGATCCTCTGGAAAAAGACTCCGAGAGTTATAACTACTGTAGTATAAACATAGGAACTAAGTTAAACTTGTACATTTCTGTTGATCACGCCGTTATGTTGCCTCAAATAGTTTTAGAAGAGAAAAAAAAAATATATCCTTGTTTTCCACACTATGTGTGTTGTTCCCAAAAGAATGACTGTTTTGGTTCATCAGTGAATTCACTATCCAGGAGAGACTGTGGTATCTATTTTAAACCTGTTGGGCCAATGAGAAAAGAACCACACTGGAGATCATGATGAACGTTTGGCTGAACCTCATCACTCGAACTCCAGCTTCAAGAATGTGTTTTCATGCCCGGCCTTTGTTCCTCCATAAATGTGTCCTTTAGTTTCAAACAGATCTTTATAGTTCGTGCTTCATAAGCCAATTCTTATTATTATTTTTGGGGGACTCTTCTTCCAAGAGCTTGCCAGTGAAGATTTAAAGACAGAGCAGGAGCTTCTTCCGGGAGTTCTGAGCCTTGGTTGTGGACACAACAATCTTAAGTTGGGCAGCTTTCCTCAACACAAAAAAAGTGATTAATGGTCATTGAACCATAACTAGGACTTTATCAGAAACTCAAAGCTTGGGGGATAAAAAGGAGCAAGAGAATACTGTAACAAACTTCGTACAGAGTTCGGTCTATTAATTGTTTCATGTTAGATATTCTATGTGTTTACCTCAATTGAAAAAAAAGAATGTTTTTGCTAGTATCAGATCTGCTGTGGAATTGGTATTGTATGTCCATGAATTCTTCTTTTCTCAGCACGTGTTCCTCACTAGAAGAAAATGCTGTTACCTTTAAGCTTTGTCAAATTTACATGAAAATACTTGTATGAGGACTGTGACGTTATGTTAAAAAAAAAAGGTGTTAAGTCACAAAATGCGGTAATAAATATTTCATTTTTGATTTTTTGTTAGGCTTTTGCGTTTTTAATGGTTTTAGGACAAGGCTGCACCATGCCGACTCTATACAGTGTTAAAAGTAGGTGATGGTTTTTCCCCCCAGCAGTTGAGTATATTTTAAACTTACCAATAATTTGTAAGGTAATCATCTGTAGCCTTTGAATGTCTATTTGGCCTATAAGTTCCACCTGCAGAAAACTTCTAAAGGTACGAAACTCTGTGTACATAATGAGCCAGGTTGAAAGATCCCCCTGAACGTGCTCAACCTCCTTTTTAGATGCATGACGTTAAAAAATATATACTTTCAGATAAAGCTTTTCATGGTCATCCTCTGCCAGAATAAAGGACTTTTCAGGTTAATTTTACAACGTAAGAAATAATGTCTGTGCTCAAAGGTAATTTATCTGCTTGTGTTTTTCCTCTGCCTGTCTTACTACAATACTGTTGGATATGTAAATGAAAATTTACATATGGGTGTTCATAGATAAGTAAACAACTTCTATGGAGTTTGAAATTTTGACTTTAAAAGATGACTTAATCATTAATATTTTATAAATTATATTGTGGTATATTTTTATTTCAGATACCTCCATGTGCAGGGATGCTAGGGTGATGATCACTAAACTTAAATTTTTCTCTGAAAACAAAACAAAATGGACGGTGTATTGCCATTTTCAAAATTTTATGCAACATTCCTGGAAATCTATACCATTAGCTTATTGAGACTGTGCAAACAATGTCTGCTAAAGTGTGCAAAAAGGGTGAGGCATGTCCCCTCAATTTTCAAATGAATATACTATCCTGGAATTTTGTAACTCTTAAATTTTGAATCTTTGTTTAGAAAGAATAATATCGTAAACTTTAGCTAGATATATGATGTCAACTGGCTAGGGAAATAATTCACTATCTCTGCAAACTTAAACTTGGAAGAAATCCATAGTTATATTTATTTGGGACTCTTCCATCTTTCCATTTCAGACAGCATTTATGGAAGTTCTGTATAAATGACAAAGGAAATAAACTTTTATTGTTTTGTATCATATTTAGTTAGGTAGAATTTTTACAAGTACATTTATCAATTTAAGTGGTGTGTTGCTGTTTAAACATAGAAATAATATTCTGACACAAACTAAATAGAGAAATTCTGTGCCACTTGGAAAAGAGAGAGAGCTTCCCTCTCATTTTTGCTATTCTGTTTTACATGAAGTCTTTTTGTAAATTTTAAATATTTGCCTAGTTTTACTTTAAATGCTTTTGTGTAAACTCTGAAAATTCCCCATGATAAATCAACTCTCACATCAGGTGAGGAAAAAACCTTTTTTTCTTTCCACTCATTAAATGCTGAAGGGTTTACTTGGTAATTGGCTCATGTTTAGGATGTGTTTTATGAAATTATTAAGTTATCTCAAAGTTTAGAGACCAGAGCTCTCGATCCTTGGTTTTAATGAATAAAGTCATCTCATGCTTAGTTTATTCGTCAAACCCACGTCCTATCATGTTAACTTTAACTTTCTTAAATATTTGGAGATGAATGATAATTGTAATAACTGTTTGCATTACCTTGCTCTCCCCCACCCCCAACCCTATGATAAGACAGAGAAGTGATAGGTTTGTCCAATTTTTATAATGCTTTTTTTACACCACCCCGGAAGGCACTTGCTCCTATCTCGGGTTTACTATTTAGTGTAAAGAGTTCCGATTTGGGTATATTTAAGAAAGACTCAGCTGTCAAAAGCAAAGAAACTGGGAATGGTGTTTTGACAACCATATAGTGTTAAAGGAAATACTGTAGTCTGAATAAAATTGCTTATGTTCTCCAAAACAAGAGTAATATAAAAACACTTTTTTATTTATATGAAAAAGCAAAAGCAGAAATAAATTCCAAAGGTTTCCCTTTCTTTAAGAAATTCTGAGAGAACTGCAGTCGCCATCTGTTAAGGGTTGGGAATTGAGCAAGAAGCCACATTTTAAACGAAAAAGAGAGAAAAGACCAGGAAAGTCTGTGTCTTCCGTCCACCCTCCTCTCTCCCACCCGCTAGGTCAGCACCCCTCACGCCCCCAGCTCTCACCCTCGTTAGAATCCACCGGGATCCTCCTGCCTCCTCACCCCCTCCCGCCCCCGCGGGCCTGTTAACCCGGAGCAGATTTGGGAAGGGAAATGTGGCTAATATCTCTAGCAGCTGTCAAAGGAGGGACCGTCCTTCAAAGGGACTGGACAGGGATCCTCCACAAGTTCTCCATTAGTCTAGCACGCCAGCAATTTGACAAGGAGCCTGGACCTCCTGCTACAAGTTGCCACTCAGTCAGAAAGGCCGGTGTCCGGGTGTCTGGATGCGCGGAGTGGCCCCAGCTTCGCGGGCCGCAGCCCCCGCCGCCCACCCAGCGGGCTTGGTGCGGACGCGCGTCCTGGAACCCGGGAGGAGGCAGGGCAGAGGCTTGGGCCGCGGCAGCGGGGCGTGCAGAGGGCTACCCTGGCCCTCACCTGGCCTTCCTGGGGCGTGTGTTAAAGAGTTAGACCAACGTATTGCAAACGATGGGGGCAGCAGCGGGGCCCGTCCCGGTTACAGCTGCAGCCATCAACTCTGGGCGTCGCGCGCCCGGGCGGGCCCCCTCCCTGCGGGCCCGGGCCGGGAGAAGGTGCCGCGCGGGGGAAATGCTGGTCTGGTGGGGGAGGCCGGTCAGATTGTGATGAGAATGGAGACCGTCGGGGCAGTGTTTGAAGGGAGGTTTTAATATTAATAGTTTCGGTGTAGAGACAGAAGGGAGATTGCGTCTACGGCTCCTCCGGGCAGACTCTGGGTGACAGGGATGATGGATGATCCGGCAGAGCCCAACAGCTCCTCCCCCCCAGCCCCAACAGTGTCAAAGCTACTTTAGTTGAAGCTTCAGAAATAAAATAAACAGCATCGCCACCCCCCTTACTCTTAGTACACCTCCACCCTCACCCCCCGCTTTCCGACATCGATTTATGGATCATTATGAATCAATTACTGCTCTCAATACCTTCCCATTGGCTTAAATAAAACAGTCGAAAGATGAAAACGCGGGGTTCGGTGGAGATTTTTTTCCCTGACAAGAACAATCGCAAAATCCATTATCTCATAATCAGAGGCTCTGGGTGAGGAGGTGAAGAGAAAGGACCGGGTCACCCAGTAAATAACTGGGGGGAATGTAGGAAGGGGGGGTGTCGCCCAGATGCTGCCTTTGTTTTCTTTCAGATGGGTTTGCTTGGTTTGTTGTTTGTTTGGGGTTTGGGGAGCGGGGTAAACTCGCGTGAGAATTAGATGTCTACAAGTTTCGTGACCTAATTATTTAACTCCTTTGGAGAGACCCCTTTGAATGCGTGTCTCGGCAAACATCAGATGTTGTTGGTAGTGAGGTCACACATGGGAAAAGGTGTGGAGGAATGGGTCCGTCTGGAGGGCGGATTTTCACTTTGTTGTGAGCAACTGTGCGCGGGAGGGTTGGCCGCCGGGTGGGGAGACCGTCCCTCTCCCCTGGCCCCCCGCCGCTGGCTGTTTTTGTCGTTGGAACTGGTTTGGATCTGGGGCTGGCCGTCCCCTTTCGCCCCCACCCCCACCTCGGCCGCCCGAGGCTTTTCTTCCCTCTCCTGCCTCTTCCGCGGCGGGGCTCGAGGTTCTCTAGGTGTTTCTATGACTACATTGTGTGTGTGGGAGGGTCAGACGTGGGGGTTGCCCGCGAGAGGGCCGTTCCTGGGCGATCATTTATCAATGTCACCCACATAATGATTCTCTCTGCAGCCTCCTATTGATGAGGATAATTACATTAGCTCAGAGTGACTGATCAATGAAAAACCACCACACAAAAACTTCTTTACTCCTCTATAATACCAAAAACCGATACAGAAATAACATAGAAAGCCTGATTTTCTTTCCCTTCCCTGTCCACCAATGGATTCTGCCCCCTCTGACACCCCCCCCGCCACCCCCCCAAAAAAAGGACGGAGGAGTAAAGTAAGAAACTAGACCCAGGTTTGTTTCGTTTAAAGGAGGATGCAATTCTGTTCGTGAATGCATTTTCTCTAAATGTTGGCTTCATCCCTCCTTTGGTAGAGACTATCAACGGATTTGCTAATGTGAGTTGCTTTCAGACTAGTCTGTGGTTTTGCTTTTTATTTCTTTCCTCCCCTTTGGGCATTTTTTTTTTTTCTGCTTCAAAAAAGGAGATAATTCTTTCTACAAATATCTGGTAAAAGAAATTCCTCTAGGTCCTCTTTTTAAAAAGCGTTTGCCTAAGTCGGGTTATCTTTTGTCTTTATCACTTCATAAAGTAGAGCAATTAAAGATGTGATGTTGCGTGGGCAGAAAGGGTGGATCCATTATACGGCGACATAATACGCCATATTCTAGCATGAAAGTTTGAAGCTAAATTACGATTTCGCTTTTTCTAGACTAAAAAATCAATATTTTCTCAATTAAAGCGAATTTTAATGCTTTACTTGCTAGTTGTTAAAGGCGCTGTAAATTTTATTGTAATGCTTCTTGACTTCGGAGTAGATGCAGGAGATGGGATGATTCTCGTGGTCTTTTTCCTCTCGGGGAACCTAGCCCAGGAACATCCCATGGTTTCATATAAAATTGAAGCAACAAAGGTAAGAAGGGTTCTGAGAGGGACGGGGCAAAAGGTGGAGAGCCCGCCAAGGAAGCCCACCAGCGCCAGAGGCCATTGTCTTGTATATTTTCACCTCTCTGTGTCCTGCCTCCTGAAAGTGACAGAGGTGTCCATTTTACTCTAATCTTTTTCAAAGGGGAGCACGTTCGACTCACATCTGCTCTTTAATGGTCAGAAAAGGAGTTGCATTTGGGGAGCATTCTAAACCCTTCCCAGGGTCCCCCTGTTCTCTTCCTTCTCCTTATTTAACCAAATGCTAACTCGGAACTGGCTCTTTCACCAATTTGGCCATATTTTATGTGTTCTGGCTTCTATACCAGAAATCATTCGCCACCCTCAGGAGCATGCCCTGTTTACAGACGTTTTCTCCTTTCACAAGTCC